AAAAGCTAAACAATAGAAATCATTAAAATAATGTTTAAGACTAATTTGAAAACCGTGTTCTTTTGATCTTATTTTTACGACAAAATAAAAAAACGTTTTATCTGGTTTTGCATGCCAATTATTTTTCTTATCTGGTTTTGATCGGAAATTTATTTCTAACTGGTTTTCAAAAAAGCTTTGTGAAGTCAACTTGACCAGTGACGATTTTAAAAACCAATATAATTGTGCAAAACGCCCCTCTGCCTCAGAAAACAAGTTATTTTAATCTTTGATACTTTTATAAGATTGATGAAGTTAAAACTCAATCGTAACTGTTTAAATATGGCTTTTGTAATTTTAGTGAATTTTTTTGTATATGATTTTTTTCTTAAATAACGTCCTCCATTTTTATAAAACGTTTTTAAAACAGAATGTTGATAAGATAAAATTTTTGTCATATTTTGCATCGACAATTTTTTTTCTCTGGTTTTGCCCGGACAGAATAATTTAAGGCAGGTAAAATGTAATTAAAACAGTTGCTTTTAAATTTAATTTTTATTTGTAAAGATCTAGGAATATTAATACTACATAAAAACATTGTTAAGTCTTTTTTTTATATAAGTGAATTATCAGGTTTTGCAAGTTTACTCCTTGATTAAGCAGCCGTAGGTAGCGCACTAGCCTCAAAAACAAAGGTTCAAACCCCGTCTCTGGGAAAGTTTTGCGATATCTGTTAGGAAGGAGGCGTGAACTTGTATTAATTAATTGCTCATCCGCGGTGCTCTGTGATTAGACCGTAAGTTTTAGGTAAGTTTTAACCGTAATAACCGTAAAAACCGTAAGTTTTAAACCGTAAGTTTTACACGGATTTGTTTGCAATTTACATAATCTTTTTCCTATACTTTTCATCAACAAATAAATGTTTGTGAGGTTAATAAACATATTTTAAACAAAATCAAAATCAAACCAAATTTATTGACAAGCTCAAGACCCTAGATAGTAAGGGTTAAGGATAAAGTAAAAAGGGTAAGATAAAGTAAAAAGGGTAAAATAATTTCAATGCATTAAATATAAACAAAAAATGGTGTCGTAAACACAACAACGCTCTCCATTTATACATCAACGGAGATTGTAAGAACCTGTCTGAACAACATGATCTTCGTTTAAACTTGTATTGAAGTAAGATTCAACGTTTATTTGACTGTATAGTCAGAGAAATAATCCGGACAAAAAATTATATTGTTTAAAATAAACTTAAAAGTGGAAAACGATTGGATATGTGAAAAATCATCAAATTTTTAAACATTTTAGACATCTTTTATTTGCATCATTTTTAAACATATTTAATTTTATTATCAAACATCTTTTTAAACATCTTTTATTTGCATCATTTTTAAACATCTTTTATTTTATTTTATTATCAAACATCTTTTTAAACATCTTTTATTTGCATCATTTTTAAACAACTTTTATTTTATTTTATTATCAAACATAATTTTTAAATATCTTTTATTTGCAATGTTTCAATTGCTTATAACGTTTTGAAACAATATCATGAGATAATTTTGGTTAAAAGTGGGATGTGATGGGTTAACTTTAAATTATGATAATTACGCGGTGTTTAATAAAAAGTTTTGTTACTACTAAGACTGTTCTTTGAGAAATGGCATATTTAAACTTCGTTTTCCCTCCAGTTTATTATACCTCTTTGGTAAAACATTCATTTTTAGATGAAATAAAAGAATTATGCAACCCGACGGGCATTTGTTTTTAAAAGTTACGTTCTAAATGTATTTTAAATGTCTTTTAAACGTCTTCTAAACATTCTTACGCAAAAAACGTTTAAAAGATATTTAAAATACATTTAGAACGTAACTTTTAAAAACAAATGCCCGTCGGGAAGATCCATTAACTAAATATAAAAAAAAAACTTAATTTAATATAAAAAAAAAGTTAAAATTAAAATTTCAGAAAATACAATTCCTGAAGATATTTATCAAATTCTAGTACAGGCAATGTTGGAATGCAAAACAACAGCAAACAATTTTGTCCTGTTGTGAAGCGATAAAAAGCTTATCGTAAATCCATAATTCAGTACTTTAATAATGTTGCATTTTTTAAACATGATTTATATGGTTTTTAATAATCGTACTTTTTTTCTTGCATCATTGATTGCGTCGTTTTATTTGTCACGACAAAAAAAAAACATAAAAATGCTTGCAAAACTTCAAGTAAAAACTATTAAACACAGTATATAATAATATCAATATGTGCTTAATATACACACCAAATGCTTTTTTTTACCATGCCGTTTGCTGCATTAAACTCTGACAAAATTGTTTTGTTCAGAAGTGGTAAAAAGTAAACGTTACGATCGTCACGCTACTTATAGTTAATTTTTAATTTTAACGCCGTAACTTTTGCATACTAAATTAAACATTAGTGTTTCACTTTTCTGTGAAGTTTTAAGTCATTTTCATTTTTGGTTCATTTTTAATAGCTTCAAGAGTGTCAAATGTTACTACCGTCACTCTCGCGGATTCGCCCATATATAAATGTCAGTAAATAAAATGTCTAAAAGTTGTATGATCCCAAAATCCCAAAAAATTCACAAAAATATAATGTTATTATTTAAAAAACATTGGAAATAACGAGATTGTTGATAAAACTAAAAAACATTAGAAATAACGAGGTTGTTGATAAAACTAAAAAACATTGGAAATAACGAGATTGTTGATAAAACTAAAAAACATTGGAAATAACGAGATTGTTGATAAAACTAAAAAAAAACTCAAGTTTACTCTCCAAAATTGAGGAAAATAAATTTGAGTATGCAAATAAAGAAAAATCTTTGGAAAAATTTAATAATTTTTCTGTGAATATTGGTCCAAGGCTAACATCAAGATGAAACAATCCAAACAAACTATACAATAACAATTTTGTAATAATCATATTAGTTCACTTTCTAAAAGTGATCTAAAGTTTCAGAGGACTTTGAGGAGATCAATAAATTAATAAAAAAAACAAATCTCCGGGCATTGACGACATTTCCAGCAATGTAGTATTTGATTTATTATCCGTTATACATCAACTCAAATAGGAGTTGTCCCAGAAAAAATTAAAAATAGCAAAGATTTTACCATTATTTAAAACCACCACATTGCTAAACTGCTGTAGACTTATCTCAATTTTTCCACTATTCTTGAAACAAAAAGAAAGAATAACCTACAACAGACTTTATAAATATATGTCAGACTTTAAAATCTTAAGTGAATATCAATACCGTTTCCAAACATACATCAATATTTATTTAAAAAGATAAGCTTTTTTTTATACTAATTTTGAAATGTGCTTGAAGGTGGTTCGTTTAGAAACATTTAATCTTGGACATGTCTATTTCTGTGCGTGATTTTTTATTTTTGTTTTTGTTTTTATAATTAGAAGCCTGGGACCTAAAGCAATATGCATACTATTATGATTATCTTAAAAAATATTTATAATAAAAATGATTTTATCTTAATTTAGGCTACCTAAATGTTTAAATGTGTAACTTTTTTTTATATTATATTTTTTTGTCTTGATGTCGTAATAGTTTGAAAAAATATACAACGATTTTTTAAACGTTATAATCTGGAACTTTTGATGACTACTATTCCCTCTAATGAAATTATGTTAAATATCAGTTGTAGAGATATGACATTTCACTTGAAATACTCAAATTTATTTGACTTACGTGCTTCACCATAAATTTAAACCAGCATTTAAACGATTGTCATGACTCTACGATCATAGTGCAGTCTTGTAACTTTCTGGAAATTTTTACTAATGTTTAAAATATCATTAAAAAAAAAGCACACAACTAAAATTTATATTTTCCGAGTAATTAAAGTTTATTTATATTGTAAGGGGTCGTTCATAAAATATGTACGCTTTTATTTCAACCCTCTCCCCCCCCCCCCCCCTTCCTCTATCACGTATTTCGCTATACGCTTTTTGAGTACCCTCCATCTCCCTAAAAGTACCTACGCTTTTAACATACCTACCTTACATTTTAAGATATTTTTTTCAGTTTAGTGTCTCCTTTCTTTTATAATTGATCACCTTTCCCCCATCTCTTTATACCCCATTAGCAGACCCCCTCTCCCTCATCCGAGCGAACGTACTTTATGAACTAAAATGTACATTTTTCTGTTTCAACTTCAAACTTAATTTTTCTTTGATAACATAACTAATGTATATCATTCTTTGTATTTAAAATATTTAAATAGAAAAAAATTAAACTATTATAAATTGGAGATCATATACGAGTTTATAAATACAAATCATACACGAGTTACCATGCGTGATATTTTGGAAATGTCCTCTTCTGATTTTCACTTTTGTTTACATTTTGTATACGTTTTACTATAACGTATAAAAATATTATAACGTATAAAAAATGTAAATCAAAATCAAAATCAAAATTATTATCATTTTATAATGTCAAAAAAAAATGTTTTAAACTTTCACTATCAAGAGAGTCCTGAAGTAAGTTTTAATACTTAAGTAATTTGAATCTTAATACTTAATTAATTAGAGTCTTTGTACTTATTTTAGTATTTAGAGTCTTAGTAATTAAGTAATTAGATAATTATTAGATTACTTTGGTGGTAGCACCAGCTTTCTGTAACAAGATTTAAAACTCTGGGTTTTGAGCTAATTAAGATTTAAATATTTAATAGTTAACAATCTAAAGTTCTGAAAAAAAAAAACTTTGCATGGTTAACTTTTAAATGCCAAATGATTTTTGAATCAAATAAATGATTTTCTGAATATTTGATGGATTTGATGGATAGTGTTCTAGTTTTTATTGGTTTTATTTATTAGATATTATTGTTAATTTAACTTTTAAAAAATCAAGAAATCAGACTCATATCATTTTGATTTCATAATTGTATAATTACGAAATAAATGAAATGAGTATAAAGTTTTATGATTACATATATTTATAAATGTCGCAATGAACAAATTTAAAACATTACCAGATGGTTCGCAATACTCCTCCATAATAAGATGAACATCATTAAGTTGGTTTGGAATAAAAACATCATCTAGGTTTTGAGTCCATAAGACTTTGTTCAACATATCAGAACTATATGCATAAATATTCGTGGGTATATGGACAAAACTTCGTGTCAAATTTATAAAGACATCGGTTGGAAAAGGTCCTACAATCTCTACCACTGGAGAACTTGTGTTTTTATCTCGGGAGTATTCCTCAAAAATATCCCGCACGTTGGGATATTCAAATCTTTCCAGGTTTTCAACGTACTTGTATGATTCTTTTTCTTCAAGTATCTTTTTTTTAATACTTTCCAAAGATTTTACTTTCTTTTCAAATAAACTTGCAACACCATGGTTAAATTGATCGTTTATTTTCTGGCCATCAGCTTTTAGAAATTGTATACTGTTTTTGATTGAGTTAAAATCATCGTTTAAGGCTTTATATTGGGTGATTTTATTGGTATAGTAGTCCAAGATTCTCGAAAAAATAGCAGCACCTTCTTTTAGAGTTGCAACAGTTGGAAAATCGTTTTTCACAACTCCAAACAACAAGATAACAATTATTTTAAACTTCATTGTAACAAACATTTTAGGATGTAAAAACTTTTTTTAACGATTGTTAATGCAAAAAGTTTACAAATGGTGACTTATAAAACTGATTTCGAATTGCTTATTAAACTTTCTTCTTTAAAAAATAAAAACTGCGGAAAAATAAAATGTTGAAAAAATAAAAATAAATCTTAAATTAACAAATTTTATATCGAGTCTCATCAAAATGTTTGATCGAGTCTCATCAAAAAATAACGATATTCATGATAAATGAATTTGCGTAATTTCCACATTCTCATTTGTAGATTATTATTAACACCATGACTTCAATATATATTATTTTTGATATCAATATTGCATTAACATTAAAACTATTTATTAATAAATATGTAATGACTTCTCATTTATTATTTATAAACAGTGAAGATCTATTTAAAAATCATAACTTTAGAACTTGCATGTAAAAAAAAAAAGATCAAACTTTTTTGTTATGTATATATGTATTATATATAATATATATAATGTATATATTTTATTATACTTTATATATATTATTATATTTTTTATTATACTTTAATTGGTGCTTACCTTAGATTAGTAATTGTACTATTAGTAAACAACCATGAAATGTAAACTTTTATTTCAGAATATATATATATATATATATATATATATATATATATATATATATATATATATATATATATATATATATATATATATATATATATATATATATATTATACTTTAATGATGTATATTGTACTTAAATAAATTTGAATTTTAAATATTGTTTGTTTATTTTTTTTTTATAAATTTACTATTATATTCGTAAAACGTTTTTTAATTTAAATAGAAATTAACATATTTTTGCAAATGAATATTGATGTAGGTATAGTAGTGTTGCGAAGGTAAAATTTACCGGAAAATTTACCAGAAAATTTTCCGGTAAATTTACCGGAAAATTTTGAAAATTTACCGCCTGGTAAATTTTAAAATTTTTTTTCACTTATTTTTTTTCACTTAATTTTTTTTTTTTTTTTGATTTTTTAAAGGAAAATTTGCCGTTCTCTAATTAAAATTTACCGGTAATTTTTACCAGTAAATTTTACCGGTAAATTTTGAATCAAATTTTAAAGGAAAATTTACATCACTAAGGTATAGCGATATCACTACCGAACTTTAAAGTATCAAAAAAGACCGAAATATTAGTAGTAATGATATTGAAAGTGCGATATCAAAAAACTCAACTCAATATCGAGTGTTTGAAACTGAAAGCATTTTTTTCAATAACGAAAATGGTTCCCATCATTACCGAAGTCTAGTGATGTAAATTTTCCAGTAAAATTTGATTCAAATTTTACCGGTAAAATTTACCGGTAAATTTTAATTAAAGAACGGTAAATTTTCCTTTAAAAAAACAAAAAAAAAAAAAAAAAAAAATTAAGTGAAAAAAAATAAGTGAAAAAAAATTTTAAAATTTACCAGGCGGTAAATTTTCAAAATTTTCCGGTAAATTTTCCGGTAAATTTTACCTTCGCAACACTACCGAAGTCCTATTTGCAACTACCAAACTAAAAGAAAAAATTAGTAATAATAATACGAATTTTTTGAAATAAATTATTTTATGGTTTAATTTTTTTGTTGCAGAGGTTATGTCTTTTAAAAATAAAATTCATCTGTCTAAAGTTGTGAGAACAACATTGTTTTATTGTTTTGAAGAAAGCGACATCTTAAGAGTTGATAATGCCAAGAGCAAGTCTTTATTGGGAATTCTTTCAAAAAGATTTTCACGGCAAAGATGTTGCCCAATGCAGACAGCGCCCATCAAAAATAAACACCTAGCTAGGCAGCATCACAATAATAAAGTTTCATTTTCGAGGCTGTTATGAAGACATTTTTAACAGTATTGAAAATGACTAAAAAAAGCGATTATCTAAAACTACAATTGGTGAACCTGCGGATAAAAACGTAAGTCAAGCCCAGATTGTTGAAGGAGGTAAAAAAATGAGAAAGACAATTTCTTCTCATTGCAAAGTAAAAAAAAAATTTTTTAAATGATAAGCGACAGCTCATAGCAGACTTAAAAATCATGAAATACTTTTGCATGTCAAATTTACCATTTACACATGTTGCTTCTGACGGGTTCAAAGATCTTATGCGTTTCACAATGCCTGAAGTTAATCTTAAAGCACATTCTACGTATTGAAAGACCAAGTTACCCATCTTATTCCAAATTATCAGAGAGACAATTTTGATCATTATGAAAAAGGGTTTAGCAAATGTTGATACTGTTGGTTTCACAACGGACCTGTGGTCAAGTTGAAGCAATGATGCATATGCTGCTTTAACTTTGCACTGCATAAAATCCTACTTTAAGCTTAAGTACTTTTTTCTTTGATGTGTTACATTCCCCGAGCGAAACTAGAGATAAGATTGCTCTCAAAACAGACACAATCTCCAGTGGAATACCTTTTAAGCCAGACTGCAAAATGACGTGCGTCTTTTATAGTGCTGCTAACATAATGTCAGCAATGAAAAAATCATCAATGATCAATGAAAATACTACTTGTACTGCACATGTTCTCCACTTTGTAATAACACAAGGTCTCAGTTCTGTAGAGGAAGTTAATGAGACGTTCCAAGCTTGCAAAAAGCTTGCTTCAAGAACACACAAGACAATTGCTAGCCAGAGAAGAGTCTTTGATGCTTGCAGAGAAGAAGAAATCAACTTTAAAAAAACCATCACAAAATGCAAGAAGAGGTAGAATAGTGTGTTTATTTGCATAATCAGCACATCTAAAACCAGCATTGGAAGCTAATACAAATAGCAACTTAAAAACTGATGACATTTTAAGATCGTTTATCCCTACGCAAGAGCATTTTGAAGTGATGTTCTAATTTTACAAATGTTCAGTGACTTAACAGATGTTGTGTCTTCAGAAAAGTATCGTATATCTCATCTAATTATTTCTGTTTTAATTGTTATTCAAGAAAAAATTAAACTCTTAATTTTACCAAGCAATACCATTACAACTAATTTAGTGTCCAAACTACTCTCAAATCTCCGCAAAAGGTTTCCAGAGTGTGCCTCAGGTTTGAGCAACAATGCATTAACTAATTGAACATTGACCCCAAATTTAAAGGTCACTTCCCAGAGCGACGAATCGTACAAATCTTAATAAGATTTCTTACTAAGAACCTTGGTAAGATTAGTAAGGCTTGCAAGACGTGCAAAAAAACTAATAAGATCTCATTAAGATGTGTAAGTTTACGTACGATTTCTTAGTAAGATTTGTAAGAAATGTAAGATCTTAATAAGATATGTAAATTGTATCATAATTTCTTAGTAAGATTTTGAAGTTATAATATTAATACTTTGTAAGATAGTAAGATCTTACAAGATTATTTTGTCCAGAATTAATAATAATGTAATTATTACTAAATTCTACTTATATTTTTGCGTAGAGGTAGAATATTCTATCGCAAAAATATGAGTGGAATTCAGTAGGGTTGGAATACCAAGAAAGAGAAACAAGAAAGAGATCTTTTGTTCGTATGGTCATTTAAGATCAAATGAAATAAGTAATTCGTTGTGTTATATATTATAAGTATTACATGTTGAGATGAGCACTGTTATTTTTAATTTTATTGAGAATAATTTTATTTGAGAAGAAATTAACTTGAATACTTAATTTTTTTTATTCATTATAATATGCTAACAATTAAAAGTTAGTTATTATCATATGCTAATAACTAAAACAATTTAGTTCTTTAATTAACTTGTTCTTGAAAAAAATTTATAACTTAAAATTTAACAGTGCTTATATTAACAGTATATGTAATACATTGAATATATAATACAACGAATTACTTATGCAAGACTATTCCATACTGCAACACTAATTGAAAATTAAAAAAAAAATAAAGTATTACAGATTAGATAGAATAATACTCATAAAAATTTGATAGACTGAATTTTTTTCCTGTTGCTTACAAATTAAATAAAAATACAAATACAAGTCAACGTATATTAGATTGATGCTCAGCGAGGAATAAAACTATACAATATAAAACTGCGCACAGTTTAATTGGTTAAATATTTCCATTTTAGATCAGGTTCCATCTGATTGATATCATTTACAGCTGTGTTAACAAAGTATTTTAGAATGGCTTCTTTAATTTTTCTACTACTACGCAAAATTGTTTGGGGTATCTTTCTTTAGCGTTTTCACCAGCATAATTTATTTTTTGATGGACTTTAATTAAATTTTCTGCACCGAGATATTTTATGCAAAAATAATATTGTTTCATGACAGTTCATAAAAAACAATGATGCATAGATCAACACCTTCCTGAAACTATGGCACTATACACAAACTATTATATTTGTTTTTATTTAATTCTTATTAATAGACTACTCAAGACTAAGACTAATACTCAAGAGTAAGACACTTACACATTGTTGAAGAAAAAACCAGTTTCACAAATTTGCACACCCAATGGAACTAATTTGTGTATTTGCATCCTCTTCATCAAACGCTGCTGTTTAACTATTGCTTTTGTCATTATACAAAAAAAAAATTATTATTGTTAAATATATTGTTGAAGACTGTACAGAAAAAACCAGTTTCACAAATTTGCACACCCGATGGAACTAATTTGTGTATTTGCATCCTCTTCATCAAACGCTGCTGTTTAACTATTGCTTTTGTCATTATACAAAAAAAAAATTATTATTATTAAATATATTGTTGAAGACTGTACAGAAAAAACCAGTTTCACAAATTTGCACACCCGATGGAACTAATTTGTGTATTTGCATCCTCTTCATCAAACGCTGCTGTTTAACTATTGCTTTTGTCATTATACAAAAAAAAAATTATTATTATTAAATATATTGTTGAAGACTGTACAGAAAAAACCAGTTTCACAAATTTGCACACCCGATGGAACTAATTTGTGTATTTGCATCCTCTTCATCAAACGCTGCTGTTTAACTATTGCTTTTGTCATTATACAAAAAAAAAATTATTAGAGACAACTGAGGAGTTTAAATATAATTAACAATACAGAAATCAACTAACAGTCATATATAACATATATATGACTAAAGTAATCAAAAACAAAATGCAATTTTTATAAAAATTAAAAACATGAACAAATGTGGGTTTTGTAGGCTCTTTAATCTT